GAAAATTTTACACAGAAATTATAATGTAAAAGGTTCTCTATAACTGTTTCCGGATGTCCTGAAGGTTTGGACATTAGATGACACCAAAACACCATTTTTCCAACTCATGCTGCATCCAAGGCTCTGGCTTCCTTACTCCAATATACCTGAGGTTTCACTTGTTCCTGAGAACCTACAGAGGAAACACACTTGAAATAATGCAACTGACCCAATTCTCAATACTTTCTGGCATTACTAGTTACCTAAAATGACTCTGGGGCTGTTACCATAGGCTTCTTGTTACCTTTGAATAACCAAAACTTTTGGAAGTCAGGGAAAGAGGGGCAAGGTTTTCTCCCCTCATTAAAGCACTATTATTATATAGCAAAAAAGGAAAAAAGGAAATGACCACGCTGACTGATTATGTACAATTAATTATAATAACAAAAATAAAGCAGATCAATACAAACTGACAGAAAATGATCCCCAACTTATATAACAAAGTGCCAACATCTGTGGTGTATTGCAAAGTTAAGTACATATACGTAATAAGAAGCCCTGGTGGCACAGGTACTGACATTTTGGATAGCAGCTGAACTCTCAACCACTGTGTCACCAGGGCTCCCCTTAGCCATCAGGGAGAGATGCAAATCAAAACCACAATGAGATACCGCTTCATCCCTAATAGAACAACTAAGATTAAAAAGGAAAATAACAGATGTTGGGAAGGATGTGGCGAAATTGAAACCCTCTCTCCACTGCTGGTGAGGATGTAAAATGGTGCAGCCACTGTAGAAAACAGCTTGGCAGTTCCTCAAAAAGTTAAATACAGAATTACCATATGATCTAGTGATCCTAATCCTAGGTATATATCCAAAAGAACTGAAAGCAAGAACATAAACAGAAACTTGCATACCAATACTCATTGCAGCATTATTCACATAGGCCAAAAGGTGGAAACAACCCAAGTGGTCCATCAACAGATTAATGGATGAATAAAATGTGGTCTATACATACAATGGAATATTACTCAACCACAGAAAGAAATGAAGTCCTGATATATGCTACAACATGGATAAACCTTGAAAACTTCATGCTGAGTAAAATAAGTCTGTCACAAAAGGAGAAATATTGCATGATCCCACTTAAAGGAAATATCTAGAATAGCTAAGTGTATAGAAACCCAAGTTTATTAATGGTGGGAGGGAGGAGGAAAAGAGGAGTCTTTCCTTGGGGGCACTGAGTTTCAGTAAATGGTGGTGGAATAATTTTCAAACAGATAGCGGTGATGATTGCCCAACAGGATGAATGTAATTAATGCCACTAAATTGTATATGTAAAAAACGTTGAATTGGCAAATATTTTGTTACATATATTTTTATCACAAGGAAGATATGCAAATGGCCAATAAGCACAGCGCATGAAAAGATGCTGCATATCAGGAAAATGCAAATCAAAACCACAATGAGATACCACTTCATACTCACTAGGATGGTTATAATCAAAACAGTAGACAATTACAAGTGTGGGGGAGAATATTAAGAAATTGGAACCTTATACGCTGCCGATAGGAATGTAAAATGGTACACCTGTCTTGGAAAAGAGTTTGGCAGTTCCTCAATATGTTAAACACAGAATTAACACATAACCCAGCAATTCCACTTCTAGGTATATACCCAAGAGAAATGTCCACAAAAAAATCTGTACCTGAATGTTCACAGAATTATTCAAAATAGATAAAAGGTGAAAACAACACAAATGTTCACCATCAAACCAAAACCAAAACCAAACCTACTGCCGTTGAGTCGATTCCAACTCATAGCGACTCTATAGGACAGGGCAGAACTGCCCCATAGGGTTTCCAAGGCTGTAATTTTTAGGGAAGCAGACTGCCACATCTTTCTCCTGCGGAGTAGCTGACTTTTTGGTTAGCAGTTGAGCGCTTAACCACTATGCCACCAAGGCTTCAAGTCCACAACTAACAAAGAGATTACAAAACATGGTATATCCATACAATGGAGTATTATTCAGCTATTAAAAAGGAATGAAGTTCTGATACATGCTACTACATGTATGAACCCTGAAAACATTATGCTAAGTGAAAGAAATCAGTCTCAAAAGTCCATATGCTATTTAATTCCATTTATACAAAATATTAACTCTAATTACTAGGTTTATTTTTCACAGTGGTATAGATTAGCAACTCTGAACCTACTTTCTGTGTATTTTAGGATTGAGCAAATAAGTAAATATACTGTGGAGTTGGGTTTCTCAATGTTAGAGAAGGGAGTTACAAATATGGAAAACAGGGAAGCCTGAATGAACCCTGCTGGTGCTGGATTCAACTTGGAAGTATCACTATGAACTCATGTTTTTAATACAGATTGACAGACAAAGAAATAGTTAGAGATGTTGGAAGGAGCCCTGGTAGTGCAATGGTGAAGCTAACCAAAAGGTCGGTGGTTTGAACTCACCAGTTGCTCCTCGGGAGAAAACACCTGGTGATCTGCTCCTATAAAGATTAAAGCCTAGGAAATCCTATGGGGGCAGTTCTACTCTGTTCTATAGGGTCACTATGAGTGAGAATTGACTCGACAGCACACAACAACATAGATGTTCGGTATACATAAGCATATATATTTCTGAGCTTTGTCAGTAGAGACGATCTCAGTAGCAATGAGCGTACAACAGCGCTCAGACTGTTGTTTCTAAATACTGTTCTCCATGAGAAGGAGGCAAAGCTCTTTAAAGAAACAGTTGATTCCAGGGCAGGGACAGGGAAAGTCAAAGAGGGACGGGAAACATCTTGTTTTGCAAGAAATTAATGAAAGTGCTCAAAGTATGACGGAAACATGTCAGAAGGTCCAGCAGTCAATTTGGAAAGACACCCACTGGCCAAATCTGGGTCAATTTGAGCATAAGAAAAAAAAAGACAGTAATAGTCTAAAACCCACTGAATAAAATAAGAATCTATGAGTCCATACTGATATAAACAAACAAACAAATAGAGGAAGGAGAAGGAAAAGCTCTTTCTTAGAGTAGAAAACCAACAATAAATGTAGAATGGATGATGGAATTAGAACATCTCTACTTGACAGTCATGATAGTAATAACTGATTCAGTCAGGAAATATCAACGGAAGTTTAAACTGTTATGTGCAAATCTGATGAGAAACTGGATTTACATAGTTTCAAAGTTATCTCCCATAAGATACTTATAAATGACAAAAGGAGAAAGAGTAACTTCATGGTGGAGAGAAACCTAGCAGAGAGCATCTTAAGCAAGTGATCAAAATTAACATCACAGCAACGGAACAAACCCACATCGTGAGCACTGAGAGGACACGTGACTTTAGTGGCAATTCTCCTAAAAATGCATATCTCATCATAAGAATACACCAAACCAAACCAAATTGAAAGGCATTCTACAAAATAGTTGGTTTGTACTTCCAGAAACCTCAAGGTCATAAAAGACAGAGATGGAGGAACAGTTCCAGATTTAAAGAACACAAAGGAGACACACGACAACAAAATAGATAGGATCCTGGATCATAAAAACAAAACAAATTCTTTTTTTCTCTTTTGCTCTACTGGACATTATTAGGAGAATTGACTAAACCTGAATAAGGCCTATTGCTGAGATGATAGCACTGCAATAATGCTGATTTGATTACCGTACTGTGGTTATGTATGGGAATGTCCCTGTTTTTAGGAAATACACATTGAAATCCGAAGTATTTAGTTGTCAAGAGGTATCATACTTGCAATTCACTCTCACAAATTGTGTGTGAGTGGGAAAGAGAGAACATACATGATAAAGAGAAGGTAAAACAAATGTGGTACAAAGTTAACATCTGGGGAATCTCGGTGAAGGTTATATGGAAACTCTTTGGCCTATTCTTGGAACTCTAATTTTTCTGTCAGCCTGACATTTCAAAGAAACCCACAAAAAACCTTTGATACCAAAAGTAATACATTGAACATCATTGCTCGTATATAATCTCTGCTTGTTTCCTTAGGATTCTTAGTGGAATTACTAAGTCAAAGGTATAGACTTCTTAAAAGATGGATATATATATGGTACGACAAGTTTCTGATTATTTCTAAATGTGAAGGAGAAAGGCAGTGGAAATGGAGGAGGGCAGACCCTGGGCATGGAAATGGGGACGTGGGATGGGTTCCCAGATGAGGAGAAAAAGAAGAGCTGTAATTATGGAATGTGCCCAGAACGAGTGGGGACTGAGAGCTAGAAGAGCCCAAAGATCATCAGATGGAGGTGAGTGACTGAAGCTGTTGACCACCTGATGCTGGTCAGGAATATAATCCTGTGGTTTTACCAACTGTCCACAGCACAAACCATGGTAAGAGTAGGTTTACGTGTCTGGTCAAATGACAGAGGCCCTGGATCCCTTCCTCTGTATCCCCCCTCTGCTGCAAGCCAGCTATCCACTGTTGAGTCCCGTTGAATCCCTGGGCCCCTCTGGTTGGCACCCAAGAAGCAGCCATGACCTCTCCACCCAGTCTATAGTCACATGACTAGTGGCTTGCTATATGATGTAAGTAAATAATCTAAAATAAGCTTTCGTTTTAAATGCCCCCAATACATTTCATCAAGTATATATATTAACATTGGTTCTTATTATTTGCTATTTGCCAGAGATTGTGTTTAGTGTTATACATGGATTATCTCATTTAATCCTCCCAATAACTCCACAAGATAGGTAGTATTATTATCTCCATTTCACCAGTGAGAAAAATTAAGCCTAGAAAAGTAAATTAGCTGGCTCGATGCCATAAAGCTTAAATTCAGACTCAACAGTCTGATTCCAGAATCTTCACTCTTAACCATTGTTATGCTAGATTAACAAAAAAAAAAATTAAAAAGAAAAAAGGCAATCACAAGTTGAAATTTTTAAACTAATACATTGGGAACCTACGATGAAAATTTTATTCCATTAAATGCACATTCCACTTTTCCCTTCTGTAAGCATCCAAATATTTATTTGATAAAGGGAACATTACCTGACAAAAGAATTGTTGCTGGGTTCCTGCTCCAGGTGTGTTACTGAAGGTGCTGGTAGATTTGGAAGAACAAACTGGAAGACGATGAGATACACTGATGGGTACTGGAGTCCTGTTTGGCTGGGTCAACTGATCTCCGGTGAAGTTTGATCCTGATGCACCAGACTGAACCGCAGAGCCAACACTGGGATGGACAGTGCTGGATGAGCTGACAACAGGGAACCGACTAGGTCCTGCCATGCTTGTCACTGAGGGCATGGTGGTGAAGCCAGGTCTTCCTTGGGAGACGGTGCTCTGCCCGGGTGACAGGTGCAATACGGTTGGTGATGCCTGCTGCAAGGGCATCTGTCCGCCAACGATCTGAGGAGAAGCATGATTGACTATCACTGGACTTCCAGAGGTGGCAAATGTCTGCCCAGACACTAACTGGACGGCGGTATTCTGGTTGTTAAGCATCTGTCCAGAATATGGTTGGTTGGTCCTGAGCATGTTGGAAGAGTTTCTGTTCAACATGACATGCTCTGAGGCCACTTGGCCAGAAATGAGCTGAGAGGGTTGAGTCTGAAGAAGTTGTCCATTTATGGTCTGGACATGGTGTACTGAATTTGAACTGACAGAAAGGCTTGTAGGTATGAGGAACTGACTTTGGGGTGCATGAGGCTGGCCCATGGGAGAATGAATAACGATACTACCCCCAGCACTGCTCACTGCTTGTGAGGTGACTGGTTTTCTTGTGTTCTGTTGATTTACAATGTTCACAGACATGTGTGGACCAACTACTGAGCCCTGGGGTGAGCTTGCAGAGGCAAAAGAGATCCCTTGTTGCACATGGTGCTGCTGTATTCCCAAATTGTTCACATTGTATGTATTTTGCTGACCCATCTGGATAGGTTTTGGCTGGATATTAATTGGGACTTTATTTGAATTTGGTGCAAGACCCCTTTGTATGATGATGTTATGCACAGGTAAAGACGTTTGAAAATTTGTGCTGTTAAATGGAACGGTAACAGGCTGTGCTACTGGACTGGAACTGGAGTTTCCAAACAAGGAATTGCCATTAGGAGTCTGTCTGTGAACCAGCAGCCCTCCACTCACATTTGATGGGGCTTGTTGCCCACTGCCCTTTAATATGATTTGAGATCCATCTAGGTTATTAATAGTCATCATGGAAGGTTGACTACCAAATGACCCAATTAACTGTATTTGACCAGAACCACTAATCGGACTGCTATTCGACAAATGCTGGCTGGGAACACTGATCCCCACGTGTTGCATAAAGCCATGTTGCACACCCACTGTATTGCTTGCAAATGATGCTCCAACAGGCACGTGAGTCACTCCTATAGGCTGCAGCGTCTGACCTGAGTAATTAGAAACATTAGAAGCCTGAGTAAAGGATGCTGATGAAGAAGGATGAAGCTGAGCTTGTGCAAACTGTTGGCTGGAACCTATACTGGCATCCAAATATGCCTCTTCTGCCAATGTCTGTTCAGTGATATTGGCTTCCTGCAAGGATTTCTGAAGAATGTCGAAAGGTTGGTCCTCACTGAGATCAGGAAGAGGAGAAGACTCAAGTTCATCTTCGAGAAACTGAAGGCTACTTGAAAGTGGCAGTCCATCACTGGGCCCTTCTCCAAGCTGGTTGCTTACACCTTTGAGGGATGACTTAGGATCAGCATTCTAAAAAAATAAGCAGTATGTTACATGGCATTTCCAACCTCTGAAAGATTTCTTTTTAAAGTAATAATAATCCTAACTTTGAATATGAATAAAGCATAACAGTCTGTTTTTCAGATACAGCTCTCCAAACTGCTCACCTTATACTGATACTTTATGTTCTCAGCAATGATGTCTAACATTATCTTGGTAAGTATATACATTCCTTGATCTGGTAAACTATTTTGTAGTGAACAGATAAATAAAATAACATGAACATACTGAGGACTGCTTGGAGTTTAGCTTCACTTTTGAGATACTGGTACAGACTTTATTTTTCAAAATTGCTCCCTGTCCAAGGGTTGAGTGAGTCTCAGTCCCAGATGTGTGTCCAGGAGACAGACAAGTCCAATCCTTTGTAACACAGGAGTCTAACTGATTTGTGGGAGCACTGGGTGTTGTTCTGCTAGAGATCCAGAAGATGGCCTAGAACTAGTCTGAAAGAAGGCCCTAGTTCTTTCCCCTCATCCCTCCCAAAAAGACTAGTTCAGATAAAAATAAGCTTCTAACATAGGAGTAATCGGCTTATAAAGATTTTTTAAAACCACTTCAGTCTCCTGTTCAAGTAACAGTCAATCAACATTTATCAAACACCCACTTGTGTCCAACTAGAGACTACACAGGCTTTGAAGAGAATTACACACAGTCAATGATAAATATAATCCATCCCACTTTTTAGTAATCTTTCATGGGACATGTCAAAATTAAAGAAAAAGAATCAACAGCCATTTAAAAATAAGGTAAAGAAAAATATTTTAAACTGCATAGATCAGTTAAGAATGAGTATTCCAACTTGCAAAGCTGTGGAGGTTCTCAGTTCTAGACTAACAAGGTGTTGGGGGCTAGAAGATGAGAAGAACTAGATAGAAAAATCGAGACTAGTTAATCCCACACTGACTCAACAATTGAAATAGGACTAATGTGGTCTGAGTTAGGTAGACATCATTTTAGGGCTTCAGGAACCATGTAAAAGGAAGCGGGGAAAGCAAGTGACACCAAGGAGGATAATTTTTTTTGCAGAGAAATACGGAGGTAATTATGAATATCTGCTGAGTGGAGATATGTAGTTTAATGCTTTTTGCAATGCACAAATTACCAGAAGATAGCTTTAAAAACATCTACATTTTTCTAAGCATTTCTAATATTGCTATTGTAAGTGACAAGCTCCCAATAAATACATACTGAATGAAGCAGTCTGAAAAGTTGCAATTACTACTCACATGGAAGTGGGAGAGTGGGTAAATAAAAATCATTAATATTGAGGCAAAAGCTAAGTATTGGCTTTATGGGCTTAATGGCATCACATGTAGTTATTTATTACTTGTTCAGAATGAATTTCAGAAATGAAACTGATTCATACACCTTACAGGAAACCAGTGTTACGACTTTTAAGCCATCTCTGGTATGCAAAGGTGTCTTGCATGATATGATCTGGCATACCTTACACACACTCAAATACTTGAAAGAGTTGTGCATTCCCAAGGACTTTCTGAATACTATCCTATTTTATAGATGAGGGAAATAAAGGCCATGATGATGATGATAAGTTAACATTTATTGAGCACTGTACCAAATGATTTCCATGGATTAGTCAGTTAATCCTAACCACCCTATGAGGCAGTTCTATTATTATCCTGGTTTCATAAATGAGGAAATTGGGTCTTACAGAGATTTAGTGACATATCCAAGGTTATACAGGTAGTAAGTGGCAGAACTGTCTGACCCCAGACTACCATCTATGATAGAACAGGTAGTTGAAAAGATTAAAATAAGATAAGGCTTAATTAAACATAGTCATCTGGATAGTCTCCAGACAGAGACTCCCCCAATTCCCAGCTCATTTGAAGAGAATAAACACAGTCAATGATAAATATAATACATCTTAGCAGTCTTTCATGGAACATGTCAAAATTAAGGAAAAAGAATCAACAGCCATTTAAAAATAAGGCAAATAAAAAAATGCTCTTAGAGCTTATGACATGGGCTCCAGCCCTGGTAAAAAGCAAACAAACCCACTGCCATCAAGTCAATTCTGACTCATGGCAACCCCTGTGTTTCAGAGTAGAACTGTGCTCCATAGGGTTTTCTTGGCTGTAATCTTAACAGAAGCAGATAGCCAGGTCTTTCTTCTATGGTACCACTGGGTGGGTCTGAACTAGCAACCTTTAGGTTAGTAGTCAAGTGCAAATTGTTTGTGCCACCTAGGGACCTTGACACCGGTGGCTGGGTTAAAATTCTTTCTCTGCAAATCTGGTTGTATGATCTTCTCTGTGTTTTAGTTTCCTCATGTATGAAATATGGATAACAACCTACTTAATGGAATTATTGTGAGGATTAAATGAGGTTAATGTATGTTAAGGCCTTTACTGCTAAGCACACACTAAATGTGAGTAAGTGTCAGTTATTAATATAATCTTTTTTCTGGTTTAAGGTGAAAATGATTAGTAAGTAACTACAATTAAGAGTGATTTCTTTAAAGCTTATATAACAAGGTTCAGAGTATTCTAATTGTACTTTATCAGGTTAGAACATTTCTGAGTCATTGTAGAAAGAAAGTTGAAAGCTTATTAAAAAAATGGCAGAGTAAATCTCATATTGTCTTAAATGGCTAAGTTAAAAGTAGAAAATGTTGACATAGGTCAATAGATTTTCCTTCCCAGTCAATTACAAAAGACAAGGTAAGGATTCTTATCATAATACAAAGGCTATTAAAGCTTCAGTTCACAAGACATCAATGAGAAAGAAATACTTGATCATTAGAGTTTTCAATACTCACACTAGAGTTGGCAAAAATTGAATTTGAGTTGGCTGCAGAATATCCTGTATTAGTCAAGTCATCGTTGCTCTGCAAAAGCACACATTCAACAAAGTGGTTACTTACTTCAACTCTAAAGAAGAAACCAAACTTATGTCTGCATGTTCTCAGTATTACTTACAGATTTATTACTAGGTCCATGAAGAAAATAGTTCAGTGCCTGTGGGTCTCTAGAAACAAAAACAGAAGAAGCATAACAATAAGTACATTACTTATATTTAGGGTTAACTTTTTACTAGTGTATAAAGGAAATGATGTATCAGTTTTCATAAAATCCTCTCCCTAATTTTTCCATTCCAAAACAATTTTATTAGTAGTGTTTTGCTCTCTTTTGTTTTGATGTTGTTCCATTCCCTATGATCACTCATTTCTGCCTTCTGGGGTTTGTTAGACAATAAATTTAATAAACCAAAACAAAAAATACCCACTGCGTCGAGCTGATTCCAACTCACAGCAACCCTATAGGACAGAGTAGAACTGTCCCACAGGGTTTCCAAACCAAACCAAACCCACTGCTGCTGAGTCGATTCTGATTCATAGCAACCCTACAGGACAGAGTAGAACTGTCCCATAGGGTTTCCAAGGCTGTAAATCTTTATGGAAGCAGACTTCCACATCTTTCTCCCGACAAACAGCTGGTAGATTTGAACTGTCGACCTTTCGGTTAGCAGCCAAGCGCTTAACCACTGTTCCATCAGGGCTTCTATAGGGTTTCCAAGGCTGTAATATTTATGGAAACAGACTGCCACATCTTTCTTCTGCAGAGCAGCTGGTGAGTTTGAACCGCTACCAGGACTCCTTAAATTTAATAAAGGATTACTGAATCATGACCCCTATATTAATCCATGTCTCTGTCTCTCTACTGTATCTATGATGATTACTTGATGTTTATTTTAAAACCTACCACGTGTTAATATGTTTATTAGGTTGTTTTAGTACAGCAAACCTCACACGTTTGATTTACCCTGAGTTTGGAATGAGCATCTTACCCAATAAGATCAAGGAGACACGAGTCATCATCATCATCCATGACAACTACAAAGAGAAGGAACAGGAAAGTACAGTTCAGCAGAGCTGATTAAAGCCAACCGCACAACGCAATATACTTTATACTTTTCTAGAGAAATAACTGTGTAATTCTTGTGAGTTTTTCCTCTGTTTGCTTACTAACACAATTCTTAAAAAATCTTGTGGTCATTCAAGAGATAAACTATTCAATTTAAATTGTTTCTAATGAAAACAAACCCTTAACTTACAAGTCAAAAAAGAATAAAGACCAATCAAAGATAGCTGGCGGCAACCTCCTTCACTCGCAGATTACCTAAATGACTGTAATGTCTTCAAAATGTATAATTAACAAGGGGAAAATAAGACTTTTGTTTTAGTAATGAGCTCAAAGCTACAGAGGTCTTTTAATTTTATGACTGTATGTTTCTAAGCATGGTGAGCAATCTGAAGAGATTTCTTGCCGTATTTTGGCTATCTTTAGGAAAACAGGAAAGCCAGTTCCCCCATATTTTGAGACGAAAGAAGGGGTACCATAATCCCAGGCAGTACTGCTCCAGGGTCTGTCCTGTAGGTCCTCTGTTCCCCCGCTGCAGCAGGACTACTAACTGTTCAATTTTAAACACTCTATATCCCAGCACCAGAATCTTCAAAGAAGAAAATCTCAACCAAAAATCTGCCCCGGCTCTGAGCCCTGAGCTCCCGCTCTCCCCAGCCATGGACGGCATCAAGCTTGGCCAGCTCAATTATTGTGCTTTGGCTCAAACAGGAACAACTGTACAAATTCCAAGAGCGAGTTCTCCCCCTTTCTCCTCCCTCCCCCGAGATCCAGTAAACTTACACTAGTGATCCGACACCTGGCAACACTGCTTTGCACCCATTTTGAGCCATGTGTGGAATAATTTACATCACAGAATGCCAGGGCCAAGAGTTCTGGAGCAGTTGGAAAGGGCAGTTGTGAACGGCAGTGGGACAGAGGAATGAAATCCTGAAGAGATGCCCAGAAGAGGGACACGCCCAAAGGAGGCAGAAGGGATAGTCTCCACCAAATGTTTTTCTCTGTTAAAACTGCCACTTCCTCTCCAGTTCCCCTAAACTGCCCATTCTATCAGTTACAATGCCAAATAAATATAAAATTCACTCCTGCCACATGGAAGAAAACTTGCTTTCCTCAGGAAGAGTCTGGAAGGAGTAAGTATTTTCCATTGTGGGACCTTTCTGTTGTTGGGTGAATTAGTTCAGTTGCCGAATGATCTGGGAGATGACAATCCATTTGAGCAGAACCTCAATGGAGGGGAGAGAGGACGGGTAAGGAAGAAGGAAGAATGAGTGGGAAAAGCTTATCAAAATGTAACGTTCATGGCTAAAACTGAAAAAGGGACAGCTGGCTAAGTGAAATCTGCTTTTCAAGATTCAGACTTGGGAGTTACTCAAGGGCATGCTAACAAGACTGTTCTAACATAACTTTTGAAAAGAGAGAAATGGGGCAAAAAGATATACACAAATCTGTGTAAAGGTCTTCCCTCAAATCCTGATGGTATTTAATATGGTAGAATCACATTAGTGATTCTCACTATTAGACCATGGGCTTGTCTATCAGACATCTCAATGAAGGGAATAAATTAGTCAGTTCTGAGGTATAATTAAGCCTGTAACAGGGATAGTATTTCTTTACTGCAACATGACCATTTTAATGGAGTTCCACTGTATCCTTTGTAAATTTATTTTTTAATGTTTCCAACAATCTCTGGTGCAAACAAATAAAAATGAAGGTGAAAAATAGCCTACACCGAACAAAAACACTTTCATGACTATTTCCAGCTTCCCTCACTACCTTATGCCTCTACTTAGTTCCTCTACTTGATGAGATGCCCTAATGGATAACAAATAAACTCTAAGAAAGGAAATCAACACCAGTCATTTCACTGGGTGGCAATGCCACTGGGACTTTCAAGCACAGACATTTGCTACCATAAAGTTCAAAGTGACAAGCTACTTCCTGAGTAACCCAAACAAAAATAATTTTATGGTATCGGATGAACTTAAAAGCCATTCTGCATCCTCCCCTACCAAACCAAACAAGCAGGTCAACCACTTGATTTGAAAGAATGATCCTTGGGGGTATCCATGAGGTATGGATCCATCATCTTGTCAGTGCATCAGGAGACCTTACAGACAGGCCTTCTTCTCCTCTAGCCCTGGTGGGTAGAACTCTACTAGCCTTTATAGTGAGCAGTACCCTCAGAATTCCACTTTTTTGAAGGGCCACACTGTTTTCTGACTTTAAATAGCTTCAAATTAAAAGGGATGATCCTTATCCCTGTACCCTCAGCCAAAATGCAGTCATAATATAGCCCAATCCAAGACTGACTTTCCCCAGGATGGTATATGGTCCACCCAAGTAAATTTACCAAGGTAAAATTGTATATTTTACTAATGACTCAAAAGTGAAGAGTTTAATTTTCTTTGGCAAGGCTCTCACTTTACTTCTAGACTCCCTAGGGCTCTTTTCTCATTAAAGTAACAACCCTGAAGTCACTAGCTACATCCTTGGCACCAGGTGAATTTTATAAGGGCTGTGCGAAAGATGAGCCTCACTCTAAGGGGAAATCCCTAGATCAATGGTTAAAAACTATTTCTTGGCCCAGCACACTTGTGCCACATATATTCCCATCATTAATAGCAGCTTACTACAGCAGGGTTTGTCATGGAGGGAAGGGGGCTGTAGCTGTGACCAAATTCTAATCAGTACCCCAAGAGTTGAGAAATCACTGCCCTATACACTTTGTGTATGTGTGAGTGATTTAGGTAAAAGTTTACAGAGCAAATTAGTTTCTCATTAAACAATTAATACACAGTTTTGTGATACTGGCTGCCAACCCTGCGATGTGTCAACCCTCTCCACTTTCTGACCTCGGGTTCCCCATTTCCATTTGTCCAGTTTTCCTGTCCCTTCCTGCCTTCTCATCTTTGCTTTTGGGTTGGTGTGTCACTTAGTCTCGTATACATGGTTGAATTATGTGTGTTATTGTTTGTTTTATGGGCTTGTCTAATCTTTGGCTGAAGGGTGAACTTCAGGAGTGACTTCAGTATTGAGTTAAAACGGCGTCCGGGGAGCATACTCTCAGGGTTTCTCTGGTCTCTGTCAGATCAATAAGTCTGGTCTTTTTTTTGTAAGTTTGAATTTTGTTCTACATTTTTCTCCTGGAACCCTCTATTGTGCTTCCTATCAGAGGAGTCAGTGGTGGTAGAGATCTAATTGTTCTGGACTCAGGCTGTGGTCGTTGTGGTCCATTAGTCTGCCTGTACACTTGACTACTACTCTTAAAAAATTAAATCTAATCTTTAAATTTTGTCTTAATTGAGTCAACATCTGAATAATGGCTTTAATCAAGATAACACTGTGGAAAAAGTGACATTTCAAACCAGTAGAGGAAAGGTGCTAGCCATATGGAAAAAGAAGGTGGATTCATACCTCGTATCTTACACAAAAATAAACTCCCAATAAATTTAAGAATTAAATGCGGGGAGGGGGGCAGGAAACAAAACCTTAAAGTACTAGAGTAACATACGGGAGAATTTTTCACAACCTTGGCATGAGGAAAGTCTAAGTACGTCACAAAACATAGCATCCATAAAAGAAAAGATTGACAAATTCAACTACATGTAATTTTAAAATTCTGCATGATAAAAGAAAAAACACACCATAACCAAAGTCAAAGACGAAAATAAAACCAGAAAACACAACGGGGAAAAATGCTTCCATCTCATATCACAAACGACTTATCTCCCTAATACATACAGAACTCCTATAATTAAGAAAAAAAGAAATCAGCTACCCTGCAGAAAAATCAAAGGATATAAATAAATAAAGGAAAGAAAAATAGCTCCTCAACATATAAAAATAATCAACTTCACTTATAATAAGAGAAATATAAATTAAAATTATAATGAGATACTATCTTCTGTCAGATTGCCAAATACTAAAAAGGTTTGATTATGGGCTTTCTGGTCAGGGAGTGGAGCCCTGGTGGCACAGTGGTTAAGAGCTCGGCTGCTAATCAAAAGGTTGGCAGTTCAAATCCACTAGCCACGCCTCAGAAACCCTATGGGACAGTTCTACTCTGTCCTATAGGGTCGTTATGAGTTGCAATCAACCCAACAGCAATGGGTTTGGGTTTGGTCAGGGAGTGGAGCAACAGGGAACTTTTATATACACTGATGGTGAGACTGTCAACTCATATAACCTCTAGAAAGGACAATTTAGCACTATCTCTCAAAATTTTAAATGCACAAATTATTTTACCTAGCAATTCTAGGAAATTCATTTTAAAGTAGCCTAATGTCTATTAGTTTGTCATAGTATGGTGGCTTGCGTGTTGCAATGATGATGGGAGCTATGTCACCGGTATTTAAAATACCAGGAGGATCACCCATAGTGGACAGGTTTCAGCAGAGCTTTCAGACTAAGACAGGCTAGGAAGAACGTCTGGTGATCTACTTCCAAAAATTAGCCAATGAAAATCTTACGGATCACAACAGAATATTTTATGATACGGTGCTGGAAGGTGAACCCTCTGGGTTGGAAGGCACTCAAAATACACAGCAGCCACAACAATGGACTCAAGTATACCAACGATCATGAAGATGACGCAGGATCAGGCAACGTTTCATTCTGTTATACATAAGGTCGCCTCGACAGCAACTAACAACAAACAACAAAGGAGGATCTCAAGAACAATCTATGTCAGTCATCTTAAAATATCTCAAAGACAGTTTGATTTTTCTTTAAGATCACAGAAGGACTCCAAAGACGTCCAAGGCAGAGACCTGAAAGAAGATGACAGGCTATTTTTAATTTTTTTTTTTTCATACAGGAAAAAAAAAAAAACGAAGCCCTTATAACAAGAAGCGTATTGGTTTCAAGAACAGAGATTTTAGGAAAGCTACTAAGAGAGCCAATTCTGTCAATTTGGATGTTCTAATAGTGGAAGAAAACTAAGCTTGACCTTTGAGAGTCTAAAACAGGATTTTACACACTTCACAAACTGAAATTTGGCATGTGACTGCTATCACAAATGTTTTACTTTATTCCCTTATCTGTTTCTGTTCTTTTTCTTCTCCCAAAAACACAGCCTACTGAAGATGGTGACTAATAAGCTGAAACCTTAAAAGTCTACCAAGATGGCCCCCAGACTCTCCGTGAACCCAGAACTAAAACCATTCCCGAGGCCAACTCTTCAGACACTACAAGACATAAAATGATACTCGTGAAGAGTGTGCTTCTTAGCTCAAGTAGATACATGAGACTAAATGGGCAGCTTCTGTCTGGAGGTGAGATGAGAAGGCAGAGAGGGTCAGGAGCTGGTTGAACGGACATGGGAAATCAGGGGTGGAAAAGGAGGAGTGTGCTGTCACACTATAGGGACAGCAATTAGGGTCACATAACAATGTATGTATAAATTTTTGTATGAGAGACTAACTTGAATTGTAGACTTTCACTTAAAGTACAACAATAAAAAAAAATGGAAAAATAACAGTCTACCAAGAGTCAATACAACAGATACATGTTTATGTGTGCTGCATACATTTTCAAATATAAAATAAAGCCCATAGGGGGCACAGTTATGGATACTCCCTAGACACAATTAAACACCTCACGGCATTGTTCTACTAGGTTTGAAGGTTTAGGACCATAGTCTCATGGGGCAACTCTGTCAATTGGCACAATACAGTCCATAAAGACAATGTTCTACATCCTAGTTTGGTGAGTAGCATCTGGAGTCTTAAAAGATTGCGAACAGCCATCGAAGATCCAACTATTGGTCTCTACACATCCGGAGCAAAAGAGAAAGAAGGAAACCAAAGACTCAAAGAAGAAACAAGTCTACAGAACCACTAGTCTATGTGAACAACAACATCACCTACCTTGAGACAGGAAGAACTATATGGTGCCTGGCTATCACTACAGACAGTTCCAACTAGAGACTCAACAGATGGCCCTGGATAGAACAGGAGAAAAATGCAGAACAAAACTCAAATTCCTAAAAAAAGCCCAGACTTACTGGACCAGTAGAGACTAGATGAACCCCTGAGACTATCACCCTGAGATAGTCTTTAAACTTGGAACTCAAACCACTCCCAGAGATCACCTTTCAGCCAAATGACAGATTGGCCCATAAAATAAATAACATCACCCATGACTACTGTGCACCACAAAATAATCATCTAAATGAAAACAAATGGTAAACATTTACCGTAGACCAAAGATGAGAAGGCAAGGGAGGACAGGGAAGCTAGATTAATGGAAACAGAACCACCAGAGTGGAAATAATGAGAATGCAGACATACTGTGAAAAATGTAACCAATGTCACTGAACAATATGTATAGAAATTGTTAAATGAGAACCTAATTTCCTGTATAAACTTTCACCAAAAAACACAATATTAAAAAAAAGAGTCAATGCAACAGGTTATCTTACCGAAGTATGAAAAATTACTGAAATTTGCTTTATTTGTATTAATTTCGTATAGCATCAGTACATGCCATCATTTCCCAATCTCTTACAAATAAATTTACCTCTAAAAAGTGCTGAGGTTAGCAGACGGAACACTGAGGAACTTTATTCAAGCAGTCATGAACTACAGAATGGCTGCAGTCTCCAGAATCATGGTTCTTCTGTCTGGGCTACTGCAAGTGTAACGAGCCATAGTCACTTTTATTTTTACCCACATATTTTGTACTTCCAGTGCTCTTCATTCCTTTGGAGGAGCCATGGTGGTGCTGTGGTTAAGCGCTCGGCTGCTAACCAAAAGGTCAGCAGTTTGAACCCACCAGCCACCCCTTGGAAACCCTATGGGGTAGTTCTACTCTGTCTTTAGGGTCAGTATGAGTTGGAATCAACTCAACGACAATAGATTTTTTTCATCCTTTTGAGTAGATTCAGATTTCCATCTGGTATTGTTTTCCTTCTTCCTGAAGGAAATTTCTTTAATATTTCTTGCAGTGGAGGTCTGGTGGTGATGAATTCTTTCAACTTTTGTATGTCTGAAAAAAGTGTTGCTGTTGCCTTCATTTTGAAATATATTTTTTCTCGGCATTTCATTCTAGATCAACCTTTTTTTTTTTTCTTTCAGTTCTTTAAAGATATTGCCACATGGTTTCTTGCTTGCATTATTTCCAATGAGAAGTCTGTTGTCATTCTTATCTTTGCTCCTTTGTCCATAATGTCTTTTCTTCCTCTGGCTGTTTTAAAGACTTCTCTTCACCACTGATTTTAAGCAATCTTATTATGATATGCCTTGGAGTAGTTTTCTTTATGCATATTATGCTTGGGGTTCATTAAGCTTCTAGATCTGTAGGTTTATACCAAAACCAAACTGGTTGCCATTTAGTCGACTCTGACTCATGGTGACCCTACGTGTTACAGAGTAGAATTGCCCCATAGGGTTTTCTTGGCTGTAATCTTTATGGAAGCAGACTCTCAAGCCTTTCTTCCGCGGTGCCACTGGGTGGGTATGAACTCAACCTTTAGGTTAGCAGATAAGTGCAAACCGTTTGCACCACCTAGGGACCTCTGTAGGTTTACAGTTTTCCTCAAATTTAGAACATTTTCAGCCATTACTTCTTCAAATATTTTCCTGTCTCTCTCCCTCTCCTTCGGGGACTCCAATTACATGTAGATGATTAGGCTGCTTGAAATTGTCCCACAGCTCATTGACACTATTTGTTTCAGTCTTTTTATCTCTCTGAGTTTCACTTAGGAAAGCTTCCACTGCTATATCTTTA